GGGTTCATTCTAGTTTTCTCTCCATATTTGCAATTTTCTCTCGTCCCTTCTGTGATGAGAAAACTGTCTATGCATTTACTTATTAAATGAATCCCCTTATGTATAATGAATGTTATTTCTGCTGCCATCCTCTTCCCCACTGATTCCTTCCTTATCCACTCTGGGTTCTGACACACCCATGCCAGGCTGCCATTCTCACTGCACAGACTCTGATAGCTCATGCTACTGCTTTTCAGCCTCACCTTCCTCCATTCTGTTATGATATTCTATTATGACCACCATCAGGCTTGGCTGCCCTCATCACCTTCTCAGGCTCTGACTCTCCACACTGGCTGTCTCCTTCTCTCTCCCCTAGATCTATGGATGCTTCCTAGCTGTGTTCAGTCTCCGACAACCAACACCTGGCCACTACTTTGGTGGACATCCTTCTCTTTCAGCTTGGTCTCTGAGAGATTATGCTGGGAAGGATGCTCTGCTGATCATACTTGGGTCTGACAGTCAGTGCTTGGGCATATGCATACACCCTTACCTCATTAGTGATGCATCTCTGATATCCCATGTCCCTTCCCAAATCTGGACACCTACAGGACCTTACATGGGCTCTTACTGTCCATGCTATGTTCCCTCCTACTTAGATACCCTTTTTGTCTTGTTCAAGCTCCAACACCCTTCTTTGGGCCACTATAGCTCCCCTCCACACAGACACTATTGTGCTATACTTTAACAAACAACTTCTAGACTGGAAGGTAAGGAAGAGAAGGGAAGAAGAGGAAGAGAAAGGCGGGGGCCATCTTTTAGATTTTCTTATTAGTCCTTCCACAGGGAAATGCATACATGAAAATGTTTGGAAGAGGCAAATTTGCTTCATATTTGCAATAGTAACAAAAGATCTGAACTGAGAAATACTTGAAACCATTAGAGAAAGTTATATTTGAAGTTAACTGTCCTTTCACTTGGGGAAGCAAAGTCTTATTTCTTTTTTAGGTGTTTCATGTTTTGTTCTGACAAGTGACTTCCATCCAAATTTGAAACTTAGAAATAAAAAGGCCAGAATGGAGACTTGAAATTCTTCCATCCCAATTATCTTGTTTTATGGATGAGGGATTTCATCCTGGTGAGGTCAAATGATTTTCCTAGGTTTCCCAAGTTCCTGAGACACCCAGAAACATTACATTTTTCAACATGCTGGCCAGTATTCTTGGCATGCTACTCTCATTATCATTTAAAAGTATTTGGCCTTTAAGGCAAATTTCTAAAAATATATATATGTTTTATACATTATACCTTATATTTTTAATTGGAAGTATTTTTCTTTTGTAATAATATTGCTTATAGAATGCCATATTTTGGGCCATAAAATTATGGCCCAGCCAGCTGGGTGCAGTGGCACAGGCCTGTAATCCCAGCTATTGTGGAAGCTGAGGTGGGAGGATCACTTGAGCCCAGGAGTTCCAGGATGCAGTGGGCTGTGCCAGTCACTAAGTTTGGCATCAAAATGATGGCCTTCAGGCATGGGGTGGTAGTGAATGTGGACCACCAGGTTTCCTGAGCGGGTGTGAACTGGCTTAGGTCTGAACGGAGTAAGTCAAAACTCCGTGTTGGTCAGTAGTTGGACTGTGCCTGTGACTAGCCACTGCATCCCAGCTTGAGCAACATAGTGAGACCCTGCCTCTTAAATAAATAAATAAATGGAACATTATCTGGTCATGAGTTGATTTGAAATGCTTGGGACCAGAAGTGTTTGAAATTTGGATTATTTAAGATTTCTGAATATCTGCATGTATATAATAAAATATTTTGGGGATGGGACCCAAGTCTAAACACAAATTATGTTTCATATACATTCTATAAACATAGGCTGAAGGTAATTTTATATATTTCCAATAATTTTGTGTACCTGTCAAATGAGGTCAGGGATAGAATTTTTCCACTTGTGGTATCATTTCAGCACTCAAAATCATTCATATTTCCCAGTATTTTGGATTTGGAATTTTTGAATTAGAGTTGCTTAACCTGTAGTTCTTTGGTGATTATAGTTTTTTAGAGTGGACAATCTAGAAGTTAACCTTACCTATTTGGTAGTTAGTAACTTGAAATTTTCTGAATACTTGCTCTTAATTGTGTTACATAAATTGGGCTTAGTAAAGTTGGCATGCAGGTTGATCATTTATTTTACTGTTTCTTGTTTTGTGGAATTGTTGGGTGGGTAAAATATATGTTCATAGTCATGAATGACCGATAAATAAATAAATTACATATTCTAAAAATCCACAATGTAAGATTTGTATTTGTATTTGTATTATTTTCTTTTTTGAGACAGTCTCACTGTGTCACCCAGGCTAGACTGCAGTGTTGTGATCTTGGCTCACTGCAACCTCTGCCTCCTAGATTCAAGTGATTTTCAGGCCTCAGCCTCTGGAGTAGCGGGGATTACAGGCACGCACCATTATGCCTGGGTAATTTTTGTACTTTTAGTAGACACAGGGTTTCTTCATGTTGGCCAAGCTGGTCTCGACCTCCTGATCTCAAGTGATCTGCCCATCTTGGTCTCTGAAAGTGCTGAGATCACAGGCATGAGCCACAGTGCCCAGCCAAAATTTGTATTTTAAAAAACATTTTATGTTTGTTAAAATCCAACACTTTATGAACAAATTTAGTTTTAGAAAAGCTGGAAATAAACAACTGGCTGGGTACAGATTAACCATTTAGAGCATTCATCAATTTCCAAAAATCATTTTGCATCAAGGAGGTCCAAAGGAAAAATAGGCAACAAACTATATTTTAAAATCCAATAAAAGGCTTGAAGAGTCCCACCAGCTGAGTTATTTAAGAGCACAAATGTGATATTAACTTACTTCTGGCCCTTAGGTAAAATATTATATTTGATCTTTATGTATCAATATAATTCTGTAATTTATTATTAACAAATGTGCAGATTTTATAATTTGAAAGAGCACAATATCAAGATCATTTAGTTCATCTCCCTTTGAGTGTAAATCCTCCTACCACATTCTATAGGTGGTTACGCAAGATCTGTTGATTTGAATCACTTTTGATCATAGAGAAATCACTATCTCCCAAGGCAGTCATGTTGTATAATTGTGCAGAAATCTTCCTCTTGGTGACTTTGCCCCATGACTGCTGCCTTCTGTCCTCTGGAGTCAGATGTAATATATTTAAACCTTCTTCCTTAAATGACAGTCCTTCAGCTTTGTCTACCTAGATCCTTATCCCCCAGGAATGTTCTCTCCCTGTCTCTTTCTTCTGAAGTTATGTAATTAGGTTTCTCTTTTCCTTTCCCCATCTTCTCCTTGTCTGGACTGAAATGTTTCTTTAAAATGTGCTATTTTAGGAAGCTGTGCATTCTCCTGATGAAAGGCAAGAACAGCAACTTGAATTCTTTTTATTGTCCTTAGCCACATGAATGCAAAATATCTGAGATAGGTCCCTGTCAATTTAAAAAGTTTATTTTGCCAAGATTAAGGACAGACCCCTGACACAGCCTCTGGAAGTCCTGAGACATGTGCCCAAGGTGGTCGGGGGTACAATTTGCTTTTACATATTTTAGGGAAACATGAGACATGAATCAATATGTGTAAGATGTACATTGGTTCAGTCCAGTAAGGTACAACAACTGGAAGTGGAAGCTTCCAAGTTAAAAATATAATAGATGGCCAGGCACAATAGCTCGTGCCTATAATCCCAGCAGTTTGAGAGACTGAGGCAGGAGGATCATAAGGTTAGGACTTCGAGACCAGCCTGGCCAACATGACGAAACCCTGTCTCTATTAAAAATACAAAATTAGCTGGCCTTGGTAGGAACCTGTAATCCCAGCTACTCGGGAGGCTGAGGCGGGAGAATCGTTTGAACCCGAGAGGCAGAGGTTGCAGTGGGCCCAGATTGTGCCATTGCACTCCAACCTGGAAGACAGGCCGAGACTCTATCTCAAAAAAAGAAGAAAGAAATATAATAGATAAAAGACAAAATGTTGCATTCTTTTGAGCCCAAGATCAGCCTTCCACTGATACACAATTTAATCTGGCCCAGTGAATCTTCGTTTTTACATCAACAATGGAGAAGAGAAAGCAATCAGATATGCATTTGTCTCAGGTGAGCCTCAGAGGGTTGACTTTGAATAAGAATGGGACGCAGGTTTGCCCTAAGCAGGCCCCAGCTTGATTTTTCCCTTTAGCTTGATGATTTTGGAGTCTCAAGATTTACTTTCCTTTCACAGCCACCTAACAGGGAAGCATGGTTTCACTTTATACCTGAACAACTATATCCACCAGACACAACCTTTGCCTCAAACACCACATTCACTTTACACAAACCTGTTGACATCACACCTAAGTCAGCTTTTCTTGAGCCTCCATCTGAACAAACAAACATTCCTCTGATCTGCGGATATCCCGCCAGGAAGGGCCGGCTTGGGCAGTGCTGGCTCAGCTAGCCCAGGACCGCTACCGTTGGATTTCCTCTTTCTTCTCTGGTTTTAAGAAGTGAGACAAAAAAGCAATTCCTGTTAATCATGTAGACAATACAAGGGTGTCCAGGCTCCATTTCAGGAAGCTGGTTTCATGAAGGTCACAAAAAGGTGCATGCTTTCCCGAGACCAGAGAGGAGTTAGATACAGAGGTGGCATCAGGTAACCCTCAGGGGTGAGGGTGGGGAAGAAGGCACGGCTGATGCTGGGAATGAGCAGCGTAGGCGGAGGGAAGGCTGGCGGTCCTGCGCCCCGCCGTGGACGCGCGCGGGAGTGCAGACTGGGGAAATGGGTCACCACGTGCTACGGAGGCGGGGAAACATCCCTCCGCCCCTTATCTGTAAAGGGCGCCGAAGCTGACCGCGGAGTTTCACTGCGGAACTGTCAGAGATAAAGGCACTGTGGGGGCGGGAGAGAGAAAGAGAGAGATCCAGACACCGAGTCTCACGTTTGACACGCAGAGAGAAAGACGCAGAGACAAACAGAAACAAACTGATAGGAGAGGTGAGAGGCCAGCGAGTCCTTTCGATTAACTTGCCAAGCCCAGAGGAGAGATCCCGGGAGAGGGAGGGTCCCGTTCAGACGCGCAAACCCCAGGACTCCGGAAGAGCCCTTTAATGCAGCTACTTGGGGGACCGCACGTCTCACCTCTTCCAAGTTTGCGGCGGAGAGAATAAAGCAGAGACAGGAAGAGGAGGTGGAGTTCTACAGTTAGTGCGGTTTTAGTTTCTCCTAAGAAGTGGCGTGGTTTGGGTCTTTATATACGGTAGGAGCATATGTACGCAAATCCTGGGGCGTTTGCAAACCCGGCTCCCGGGCGGCTGACCCCATGCCCGGCCGGGCGTTTCAGGGCTACTGCCACGCAGCGTTTCTGGAGCCGGCCGGCCGGTGCCCTGGTGGCCTTTATCTCTGTCCCCCTTTGTCCTCTTTATCTCAGGCTCTGCAGGAGGCCAGGGGGGCCCACTCCGCCTATCGCTCCCCGCGGCTACGCTGCCACTTCAATGCCCCGCAGGTCGCGAGCTCCTGTTCTCTCGAAGGCGTCGGAGAACCAGGGGCGCCCCGCGCCACCTCTGACTCGGAGCAGCGCCGAGCACTGACGCTCGATCCCTTGGGCACGGTCGCCAGTGCGCCCGCGCGCGTCCCTCTGCGCGGCAGCCAGTCGCTGGCCCTCAAGGGGAAGCCCAGGCCAGGATGGCCCCGGGCCGGGCGGTGGCCGGGCTCCTGCTGCTGGCGGCCGCCGGCCTCGGAGGAGTGGCGGAGGAGCCGGGACTCTCCTTCAGCGAGGATGTGCTGAGCGTGTTCGGCGCGAATCGGAGCCTGTCGGCGGTGCAGCTACAGCACCTGCTGGAGCAGATGGGAGCCGCCTCCCGCGTGGGCGCCCCGGAGCCTGGCCAGCTGCACTTCAACCAGGTAAGGCCGCCAGGCCCGGGTGGCCCTCTGTACTGTGGGTGTCCTTAGACTTCACTTTGTATATGAGCCGTTTTTATTTGGAAAAAGTGCAGGAGAAAGAATCATCTTGTATTTCTCAAGTAGAGGGCGGTAACTCGTGACGCTTTTCACTAGACGAGGCTAAAGGGTTAAAAGGTGAGTGTTGTTCAGGGATTTGGCAGCTAGAAACCTCAGTTTTACGCCTGATGAACTGAGAGGTCAGACTCTGGAGGTTATAAGATTTTATAGAAAAGTTTATGAAGTAGTTGAAGGTGTGACGCTACCTTAAGAGATGCTTTTTAGATAGGAATGAGTTACTTAAATCTTCCCAGAAAGATAACAGCTCACACACTTCGTACAAGGTTAGCTGGGAAGATTATCACATGCTACCCTGGTTAACAGTTGCCTGGTGGGTAACCAGTGCCATCTGAAAAGGAGATGTAATGTAGTTCTGGCTCCTGTGTACATTACGTGAGGCATTCAGGGCTGAAACTGGGAGGCCTGGAGACCAAGATTCGAATTTGGTCATCCAGATGTTGGTAGACTAGGCTTACATTGTTAGTTCCTTGTCATATGTCAGGTCAAGTCTTTGATTCTATTATTTATCCAAAATGATTAAAAAATATTTTCAGTACATAAATAGGGTACTACTAGGCATTTGGAAATACTTTGGGTTTAAGAACGGCTTTGAACTTCCTAGAAGCAAGTAAAGATCATACCTGTTGGTAAACATAAAATCAAGTTATTGCTAATTATTTCTCTAATAAATATTCTATGATTGGGTAGTTCTTAAAATTGTGAGGAGACAAAGTGTACTTTCTGCATCCTTCCAAAACTGCTCTCTCTCTTTTAAAAACTTAGTTAACTCAGTGCTTTGATTTTTTTTCCTTCTACTCCTGTCCCATTGACAACTGATATTGGAGAGCAGGATACAGTATTTTCCATATTGTTTGTCATTTTTGGACAATGTTAGTTTGTTACAAGAAGTTTTAGGGGTCCAAAATGTTTGGGAAATGCTGCATACTATACTCTGCTCTTGGAAAATTCCTAATATGACTTTAGATTAGAGTTAAGGAAACTGTAATCAAATACATTCCACGTTAATAACCTTATAGGTAGATTGATATTCTTTTTGTTAGGAATAGTTTATCTCAATTAAAATATATGGTTCTTAAGAAAAAGTAGAGCTTTCTGATGCCATGGCATATCAGAGGTGGTCTCTCTTTGACCTAGAAGGGTTTTCTGGTCCTCTTATACATGTTCTTTAGTAAACTGTCTATAATTCCAGTTCTGGCCATGGTATTATATCTGGGGTAATGTCTACGAAATTATATATTTAAGAAAGTAAAGTGTTTGCTGGCTAGTTGCATTCTTTTCTTATCAAATAGGGGAAACTGCTGATCTGACTCCAGTATTTCCAGGTAAGTATGGTCTTGTGCTTGGAAAGAAGCTTAGAGGATTGACTTGAAGCTGCATATCTGTAGCCCACACATTGTTTTGACTTGCATGATCTCCTTATCTTGCAGAGTCTGGAGGTGTTGATGAATTTTAAAAGGGCTAAATACCTCCCACACCACCTTCGCAAAGATGTTAGAAAACATTCCTAAATTATTTAGGAAAATCAGTTAAGTGTATCAGTAATATGATTCTCTGTTTATTCGCAGGTAGGATGTCTCAATAGGTAAAATTATATGTATCTCGACACCTTATTTCTTATTCTTATGTTTGCATATTTAACTGCCCTATTATGAACTCTGCAGGCATCAAAAAGGGACAGGAAGAAGCCTATAATTACCTAGGAAATAAAAGGAAGATTTACCACTTAATCAGCATAATAAACATCTTTCTGATGTTCTCTCCCTTTCTTTTAATTTTTTAATTTTTTATTATTTTGAGAGTTTTACTCTTGTTGCCCAAGCTGGAGTGCAATGGGGCAATCTCGGCTCACCGCAAACTCTGCCTCCTGTGTTCAAGTGATTGATTCTCTTGTCTCAGCCTCCAGAGTAGCTGGGATTACAGAGGTACACCACCACATCTGGCTAATTTTGTATTTTTAGTAGAGACAGGGTTTCTCCATGTTGGTCAGGCTGGTCTTGAACTCCCGACCTCAGGTGATCCACCCGCCTTGGCCTCCCAAAGTGCTGGGATTACAGATGTGAGCCACTGCACCCAGCCTGATGTTCTAAAAAGTCTGAATGAAAACAATAATCATTGGTTAAATAATGACAAATGAAATGCTAATCCAAAAGAATCTATTGATTTGCTGGTAATTGATGGACTTGAGCATTATGTATGCTCCACTGTGAAACCATCCAATCTGGAGTAAAATATTAGGGTCATTAATGTTTATACACTGTAAGGAATACAACTTCAGTTTCCTCACAGGCTAGATAGAATAAACAGTGCATATGTCTATTGTGAGACACTTGGTTTTTGACTTTTAAAAAGGCTAAGAGACTAAAATTTGTTTACAGGGTCCAGGAATTTATTGAATCTTCTACAAGACCTAGTTTTTAAATAACACTGGTCTTTTGGTTGAGGACTGTGATATTTATTAGGTCAGCTTTTCTCAGGTAATAGACTAATGAACTCTGGAGATTTGTTAGGTAATTTTGGAAGGTTTTCTAAATATTTTTCTTCTGCATCCTTAAGTACTGTTAAATTAACTTGTTGCTTTGGGATATCGAAGAGACCTGAGTTCAAATTGTAGACAGTAGACCAATTGAGCCAATGGCTTTACATCTTATAGGGACTGACAGTACAAAGTTAGGTAGAAGTAGTGACCCAAACAACGAAGAGGAGGGAGCCCTTTTAGCCAAATGGGTCTCTGGAGCCCTCATTTCTGGATAAAGGCCTGATCTATTGAGGGGAGTTCCTAGAATACACAGGGAAGCCCCACATATCTGGATTTCCCTGGTTATTAATGTAGGACATTTAATAATGGCCTCAGTGCTGACTTTGTTTGTTCAGAAGTTCCTTTCTCATTCTGCAAATATTTCTTTTCCTCATTTCCTGTTTTCAAACACTGTATTTTTAAGTTCTTATGTGTAGATAGTGATTAAACAGCCTGTTAAAAAGGAAGATCCTATTTTCTAAATTATCACACTGAGCTGCTAGAAATACCTCCATTCAGAGTCTCCCAAGGAGGGTCATTGAGGGTGCTGGAATGTGGGAGTGGGTATGGCAGGTTGAAGCAGGGAGGGCCTTTATTTCATGCTGTCCCTCAACCTCACACTTCTGCTTCTCTCTCCTACCTCTTTCTTCTTTTGATACATATTTTTTGATATATGTCTTGCGGCCTATCTCCTGCATTGCATGTAGTTTTTTCTTCTCACATTTCTACTCTTACCTGGCTGCCAGATTATGTTTTTAACCTTTTTCAATTCATATTCAGTCTTCCCAAAGCAACACTCTTTCTTTCAAAAAGCCTCCATGAACTGTCTCTTAGCTGGCAAACTAAATCTTGAGGCTGACATTTAAGGCCTTGATCTCCCTGTATCAACCTTCCTCTCCAGACCTAGCACCTACTAAACTAAACTACTCACTGTTCTATGGATTCCATATGCTTTTGCTCAACCATTTCTTAGCTCATTATCTTTCTTGGACCCTTCCTGCCTTTGACTGGAATGTTCTTCTCCTTGAATTGCCCTTTGAAAACCTACTTTCTTAAGCCCAGTTAAACTTCAAAATAACCTTTCTGGGGTATCACAGCCAGCAATGATTTACTGATTTCTCTATTTTTCTGGATTCCTGAAATATTTTTTACTGTCCTGATGTCACCTAACTATTCATGTGTTCAACAGACATTTTGAATGATTGCTGCACTCTAAGTAGAGTGGTTATTTTAAAATACAAATCTGATCATATCACTCATCCTGTTAAAACAATTCAGTGCCTTTTAGATAAACTTCAAACACTTATAGTGGCTTTAATGTCCTTTTATGATTTGATCCCTGTATGTTTCTTAAGCCTTATCCTTTGCCACAGTTCCAATTTTAATGGACTATTTATAATGTCTGGTTCTCTAGAAACACTTGATTATACTCTGGTATCAGTTTAGACATTAATTCTTCTGAGAAGCCTTTCTTGATCTTCTCAAGAGTATAGTAGAAGTCCCTTCAATGCAATCCTATATTTCTTGGTGCCTCTGCAATTATGACATATTATATATTGCAATTATATTATACCATGTAAATTATTTTATATGTATTACAGTTTTCTGCTTATGTGGCTATAACCCCTGATGCCTCCCTCTACCCTCCAAAAGATTTCTAACAAGTTGAAGGGCATGGTCTGACTCCTTTCTAGGGAGTAGTATAGTACCTGGTTTATAATATGTATCTGTTAGAATTTTTTTGAATAAATAGGTGAAAATTATTTAAGATGAGTATGATAATTTGAGCTCTCACATGACTTTACAGTCTACTGGAAGAGATATGACATATGCACACATAATTATAATGCATAATACAGTGATATGTCTGATTAAGGAACTAGCCCGTTTATGCCTGAGGTTGCGGTTTTTTGAATTTTTGCAATCAGACCTTGGCAATGATCTTGAGCAGTGGGATATAAATAACTCCCGCATTCTTAGTGTTCCAACAAAGGAACACTAGGAATAAATTGTTTAAAAACTAAAGTAAGATAAGACTTGTGTTTTCAGAAAATTAATCTACCTGGAAGTGTGGAATGTATTGGAGTGGGTCAAAGGGGGGTTTCTAAGGTGCCATCTGCAGTGGATTGCGTGAGATCACTTAAGTGAGATTGGTAAAGACCACTTAAATCTGGAGAAAATCAGAAAGTAATACAAAGCCTCTGCTTCCAGAGCCTTCCAGAAGAGGAGGCATGGCTGAAGAGTATGCAAAAGGCCCCAAAGATAAGCCTTTTCTATTTCCACCTTCTGCCTGTAATGGTTATTTATTTAAGTATTGATAGATTTCTTCCTTCATTATCTTCTGGCCCTGTGATGAAAGAGAGAGAAA